CCAAAGCTGATAGGGGGTGTAGGCCTGCCGGATCTATCACTGTATTATAAAGCCTTGCATCGCCAAGTCTCCAAGATATAAGATATGGGCCTAAACTGAATAACATTCAGCGCAGGTTGCACTTGCGGCATTGCCATGGTCACAAGTGAAATACTATTGTTCTCTTAAGTGTCAACCTACAGTGGGAACCACGATTAAGGTTATCCACCAGATTTTTCAACAAAAGGGCTGTCCCCTTATCCCTCCCCCCCTCACTCCTGCACTATCCAATCCCGCCTTTTCCCCGGGAGTTGACAGTAGGCAATTACTTTGCCGGGGGAGGCGGGCTTTAAACAGTGTAGGCATTTCATGACTCAGTGGAACTGGATGTGTCTTCAGACGCTTAGCTCTCCGGTACATCCCCCTCTACAGCCTACCAGTTGCACCACTTCTTACAATCAATTCCAGATTCAAACTAATATACCAGATCACTCACTCCCTTTGAACATCCATGTGCCACAAGGGAGTATACTCCTCACCTTCTATCAGTATTATAAATGTTGAACACTCCGGAGCAGACATTTGTCCCCTCCTACATGACCTAAGCACTTCCTTTTCGGAAGAACAAGTGAACTGGATCATTCAAGTAGCTTACAAATCCTCGATAGCTACAAGAACAGGGATACAAACTTCTGTCAGCTGGTATTGGGTCCCAGTGCTACTGAACAAATTTACCCCTCAGTTTCCAGAGTGTGTTGGTGCTGTCAGAAGGAAGAGGGCACTTTATTGAATATCTTCTGGCAATGTCCTTTGCTGAATCTGTTCTGGAAGGGAATGAGGAACATAGCCTGATAGTTGACAGCAGTGGATTTGGGAACTGACCCATTGGCCTACCTCCTACATCTCAACTCGGTACAGCTACGTCGCTATAGACATTCCATGACAGTACATTTTCTGAATGAGGCACAGGCATGCATTCCAGATCTGTGGAAGCAAACCTCTCTCCCAACTATGGGTCATTGGTTTGCTAATTTGAAGGAAATTAATTCTATGGAAAGACTAACTGCCTCCCTTAACAATAAGGAAGATGTTTTTCGGGAGATGTAGCGGCCTTGAACGATGTATACTTGTTCGGTGCAATATCTTGACATGGTGCACACTTCCCCCGAGCGTGATTGAGTCCTCCTCAACATAACCTTCTGTTGGCTAGACTTTGAACCCTATAACCGAACAGGTCCTTTGGGAGAGGAGTAGAAGGAGCAAGTGGCCCCTGTGCTACTCTGCCCCTTATCCCCCAGATCTGCCTCCAGTACTCTTGTTGAGCTCCCACTCCGTCCTCTGTATTGTCTTCCTTCCCCCTTTTTTGGCATCTCCCCTTCATTCCTAATTTTTTTTTTCTTCTCCCCTTCCCTGAGAGTTAAGAAGATAACAATTTTTCTATGTAATTTTTAAATCTTTTTTCTCTGGTCCCATGATGTGAGGGACCAATTCTGTGTTTTAAATAAGAAGTTAAAGTTAGACTTTGTGTATCGCAGGCTCATCACCCTACATTTCCAGTAAGAGTTGCATTAGAATAGTTTTATGTAACAGACAATTTATATCTACCCTAACATTCCTGGTTACTGGAACACTGTGATATGCTGTGCCATATAGCACTCGTAAATGTCTCCGAAGAAGTTTATTGTTTTTCCATATTGTTTGCTGTGCGATGGTACTCCCTTGTAAATGCACAATGTCTAAATAAAGAAATACAAAAAAAAAAAAAAAAACATGCCACAATAGTGGAGTTCTCAGCAAAAGAGAAAATGGCAAATTTAAGTTACCAGCGGGATGTGTTGGATAATTTCTGATTTTGCAGTTTTCTATAATAGTGCCTTAACTAAATAAGATTACATTTAAAAAGGTAATTTTTTTCTTATTATAACTGATCCAAATACACCATCCACATTATACCCTGCCAGAAAAAAAAAATTCTAGCTGTTTAGGAACAGATGAAGGTCAAATATTATCATATTATTTTATTAAATAATATAATACGGAAGCTGTGTTGAATAAAAAAAAAAAAGAACCATAATTATCTCCCTTTCTGCTGCACAAAGGGTACAATAATCCAAAAGTGGTTGACGATAACAAATGCGGATGGTATATTTATGTGTGAGCTCTGCATCTTCAGTGTGCAGTCCTCAGGGAATAGCTAGAAGGCAGCACACACGGCAATGTTAAACTTAAATCGCAATATTATTTATTTGAAGAGTGCTGTATCTCAGGCCTACACCCTTCCCTTGGTAGATTTTCTCTTCGAGTCTCTGCTTTTTATCCACAAATCATAAAATAATAAGATCTGTCAGATCTTGTTGTTTCAAGCACCAGTAAATTTAGTTATGAGACCGGATTGATATAATGAAGCCCTTATTTAACTAAAATATCATTTATTTTGGCGTAAGCATGCAGATCTGGAGTTCCCTTCTGGATCAGCGGTTCATGACATTATGAAGCAAAGATAAGGATGAAAGCTGTTGGTCAGGATCTCAAGTGTAGAGACCCTACCTTAAAAGAAGAACTTCTCTCTTCACCAGGAAAATACAGTTAGTGTGCCTGTTACCTCTGTCTTCTGTCTATGCGTCTATCAGTACCCAGATCTGAACCTGCCACCAGTGGTGTATTTTGGTTTTGTGCTGCCATAGGCAAGACTAAAATTGGGTGCCCCACCATCTAAATTTGTCCCACCCTTTCCAGTTTAAGATCCACCCCTTCAGGACAGAAGGGGGGCAGAATGATGGAAGGGCAGTGGGACAGGAATCAGGCAGAGGGACAGGAAGGGGGCAGTGGGACAGGAAGGGGGCAGTGGGACAGGAACGGGGCAGCGGGACAGGAACGGGGCAGCAGGACAGGAACGGGGCAGCAGGACAGGAACGGGGCAGCAGGACAGGAACGGGGCAGTGGGGCATTAGTGGGGAAGCACCAATCCTGTAAGCTCTTACCTGTCCAGCAGTGGCTCATGCAGATGATCTTCGGATCTGGTGCCAGGAGTGGTAGCAGAGCCTGTGTCCATCTCCACCAGGATCTCCAGCAGCAGCTAGAACAAAGAGCAGGGGGGTGGCTTCTCCTCCCTGACCTCATCCTCTTCTTCTTCCACAGGCCCTCCCCACATCCCCTAGCCTCACCCACCCCACATAGCCCGGCTCACACTGCAGATCCTGACCGGACCCTGCCTGACAGCGGGCCCTGACTGCTCCCTGGATCCGCTCTCCACTTCACCCTCCTCAGCTGGTCTCCCTACTTGTGTTTTGGCTGTCCCCCTTCCCCCAAAGGGGACCCTGCTGCTTGCACTCACATGTCCCCTTTCTGCCATCTGCAGTGTCGCCATCCAAGGCGGATGCCTTGTTTGTCTCGCAGTAGACACGCCCCTGCCTGAAAATCCTGCTATGTCTGGAAATGTCTCTTCTTGTTGAGCCACATGGGATGCTGGACAGCTCCCTGGAGAATTCCTTGAATGAGCTTGCCTTAGACCTTGAACCCTTTGCTCCTCCCATTAACCTCCTATTTTAGCCATGCCTTCACCCTTCCTGTTTGCCAGATTATTGTGCTCTTCAGCCAATATTACGCTCGTCTCACTCCTGCTGCTGTCTGTATCTCTGCTACCACTCATTACTGACCTTTGGCTTGTTCCTTGACTACGCTTCTGCTTGGTCCCAACCTGTAACCACTTTTTACCAACCTTTGGCTTGTTTACGGACTATGCTTTTGTTTGATCCCCACCTGCTATATCTGCTACTGGACCCCGGCTTTCAACAGCACTCCACAAAATGGGGACTTCCCGTAGGAACAGGGAGAGGACCCAGAGTTGAGAATCCACATACGTGAAATCCAATGAGTGCGCCAAACAAGCGTCCAAGGACTTTAACGAAACATTGTTTCATAGCAGAAATTCAATGTCTTTTGGGGGCCAAACACACTACCCCTTTATAAGTGTTGCAAGTACAAATACAAAAGGCCATGAATACAAAAGTCAAAGGTCATACTGTAAACATAAAAATGAATATACAAGTAAAAGGCAAACATAAAAGTCAAAGGGTTTCCAATGAAAATCAGAAAAATCCACTCTCACATACAATCCAGTTTCAGATGTAGGATAGCTTAATTTACAGCCAATGAGAGCACTGTTGTGAAGAAATCAGGGTAGCTAAAATGGGAAAGAAAAACAGTGATACCATAAAGTGGAGTGAACGAATTGCCATCCTTCATTCAGAACACCCTTAGGAAAAAAACAAACCTTTCCCAGGCACAAGGCTCAAAGCCAGCAAAGCCATTAATCAAAGTATACAACAAAAGAATCTTGCCTCGGGTATCATCAGATCCAGCTCACTCTACTACCATTGAATGGATTTTTCATAATAAATGGAATGTTGTTTTTACCCATTGTTGTCTTTTCCATTAACAATGCTTGTAGGCTACAAGTAGACTTATATACTGTATATATATATAATTATTATGAAAAATATGTTGATAAGAGATATAAATAACTCTAGAGAACACCAAACTCTTTGTGTTTTTCTAATTACCCAAGTACAGTGCCTCTTTTATAATGAATTTTAACACTGAATATGAATTTTATGTTTTATGTATTAAAATGCAGAGAAAGTGTGACGCATTCAATATTCTTCCGTGTGTTCTCTGCACATTATTCAAGAGAATACTCAAGGATTGTTTTTTGCAAGCAAGATGCTGTGTGCTATATGTCCTCATCCCTGTACAACAGTGTAAGTATCACAAAATATTAGGTAGCCATGGACGTTGATGGACATATAGATAAAGACAGCAACATGGATATAAAACCCAAGAAATTTTATTTATACATGGATAAAAAGGAAAAAGAGAACAGGAAATATTACAGAAGCAGAAAATATGTTTTATATTTTTAAACAAAGAATTTCCCAGCAACAAAGAATTCCCCAGCAACACTTACCAGCCAGCCTGCAAAACAACCAATTTGGCCCTAACAGTTTGCATTAAAAACAGAGGGTTTTGTCTGCACACATTTGCAAATACATGCGTAAACCACAGTCCCGTGTCAAGGGTCCTCTGTATACTGTGGACCAGGGGGCGGACTGACAACTCATGGGGCCCCCAGGCAATAGGGAATCATGGGGCCCCTGTGTCCTTGCCCAAACTCAAAAAAGCCTATGAAAAAAGGTACCAGGGGCATCTCATGGGGCCCCCTACTGACTCCGGGCCCTCAGGCAGTGACCGAGTATCCAAATGGTCGGGTCTGCCCCTGCTGTGGACCTAACTCTAAAATGTCCAGAGCCTCCATGGTAGGAGCACATATATCAATGGATATGTTAAGAGCAGGTGTGCAAGGAGGAGCCCATCCTTCCTTAAAGGTAAAGGGATGTATGTGATGCTCAGCTATACCAAAATGACAGCAAAGGCACCCAGTGCATCTCTGCATCCAAATTGGGCAACTACACAAAAAATGAGAACAGTCCCAACCTATAACCAGCCTTAGCAGTAAGTTGCACATGGAAGGGCAATGCACATAGCAAACAAAGGACTTCCCAGCAACGCTTACCAGCCAGCCTGCAAAACGATCAATTTGGCTCTGTCTAACAGACTGCGTAAAAACAGAGGGTTTTGTTTGCATACATTTGCAAATACATGTGTAAGCCACAGTCCCACGTCAAGGGTCCTCTCTATACTGTGGACCTAACTCTAAAATTTCTAGCGCCTCCATAGTAGGAGCACAAATATATATGTGCTTTGCTGGCATTTTGCGAACTGTTAGACAGGGCCAAATTGGTTGTTCTGCAAGCTGGCTGGTAAGTGTTGCTGGAAAATGTTTTGTTTGTTTGTGATGTGCATTGCCCTTCCATGTGCACCTTACTACTAAAGGCTGGTTATAGGTTGGGATGGTGGCGATTTTTTGAGTAGTTGGTCATTTTGGATGCAGGAAAGCACTGGATGCCTTTGCTGTCATTTTGCTATAGCTGGGCATCACATGCGTCCCTGCACCTCTAAGGAGGGATGGGCTCCTCTAGGCACACCTGCCCTTAACCTATCCATTGATATATGTGCTCCTACTATGGAGGCTCTGGAAATGTTAGGTCCACAGTACCCTTGACGCAGGACTGTGGCTTACGCATGTAACTGCAAAAGTGTGCAAACAAAACCCTCTGTTTTTAACGCAAACTCTTAGACGGAGCCAAATTGGTTGTTTTGTAGGCTGGCTGGTAAGTGTTGCTGAGAAATTTGTTTGTTTGCAATATTTTCAGGTTAACATAGATGTAATGATCAAAATAAATCCATATGTAAACTCAACGCATTTTGAATGACCTTCCTCGGGAGCATATTTGAATGAAATCTATAAACATGAACACTCAAGGATTGGAGGAGAGCACTATTCATGGTCCTTAAGCAGGCACTTTTGTAATGGGAAAAATGGAGGTGTGCTTCAAGTCTCTGCAAGAACCATGACTTGCGCTGTCCAGAAGGAATGCAGGGTGTGTGTTCTGTCTGCCGCAGAGAATCTTTATAACAAGCCTTGCTGGTGCCAGAATACAACCTGGATGGTCTTGTTCTCTGAAGCCGCTCTATTAACTTTCCCAAACCGTAGAAACCAGCTTGTTCTCTATATGTTGACAGAAGCATTTTTTTCTCTTTAGATAAAGTGTAGGCAAACCTAACTCACTGTTTATCACGACAGGAATCTGCCTCTTCTATGCTGTCCCCCCCTAGCAGGCTGTGCTCTCAGTCTTCCATATTATTCTTTACATTGTTGGATTCCTTCAAAGAGGGTAAAGAACAGATCACAAAATCAGCCAAAAAGTTTCCGTCAGCCATCATCATCTTCAGCAGAGTAAAAGCTAGAACTTTTATATACAGTTTTTAAATGTGATGTGGCAGGGGTACTGTCAACATTGTAGGCCATTGCTGCATAGGCAGTGTTTAAGGAGGAAACGTTGGGAGTGTGTGTCCAGGTCTTTGCCCAAATCCACACTGATCTGAATTAGACCAACATCTGAATGGGAATACGCTAAGTTTTGCGAACATTCATCTGTGTATAAGAAAACTGGCCTTCAGCTCTGGGTGTCACAATGTGCATTGAAATCACAGTAAGCAATTTCAGTACAGGAGAGGTGCCTATACAACTGTAGGAGACTGGTTAAAGCTGAACTCCAGCCTTACCTTCAAAGTTAGTTGACATCATCTTACACTGTGTGCCATTTGCATCTGCACAAATGGGCTGCCTGGAGTGGGGGATATATTCAATAGGCAACAGTGCACAAAGGATGGGGAAAGGAGCAGGCAAGTGATTTGCCATCCTAGGCTATGGGGCTGTGTGTTTGCTATATCTGCTACTGGACCCTGGCTTGCTCACCTCCTTGTGGGGCTATCCTGAGGACCATGACCTGGTACTAATATGCAGAAAAACCCCTGTCCAACATCAGGTGCTCTGGTGAATACAGTTTAGTGCTTAGACCAGCAATGGGCAAACTACGGCCCGCGGGCCATATACGGCTCGGCGGACCTTTTAATCCGGCCCGCGGAGCTAGGCTCCCGCTAGGCTCCTCTCACAGTCCGCCGCACCCTGAAGACCGGTGTAGCATGAAAATCTGTCTCCTATGAGGATCTGTCCCCCTCGACGTATCTGCGCATGTGCCGGAGATCGCCGATCGGCTGCTAATGCCTGAAACTGGCATATGCGCAGATACGTCGAGGGGGGACAGATCCTCATAGGAGACAGATTTTCATGCTACACCGGAACAGCGCGGGAATACGGCGAGAGGAACGCGTGGAGCAAAGGTAAGTGAATTGACACAGGGGGGACTTGGGGACTTAATATGCGGGATGAATTACTATAGGGGGGGTGAATTACTATAGGGGGGGTGAATTAATATATGGGGGATGAATTACTATGGGGTATGAATTACTCTATGGGGGATGAATTACTCTATGGGGGATGAATTACTCTATGGGGGATGAATTACTCTATGGGGGATGAATTACTATATGGGGGATGACTTACTATATGGGGGATGAATTACTATATGGGGGATGAATTACTATAGGGGGGATGAATTACTATAGGGGGGATGAATTACTATATGGGGGATGAATTACTATGGGAGATGAATTACTATATGGGGGATGAATTACTATATGGGGGATGAATTACTATGGGGGATGAATTACTATATGGGGGATGAATTACTATGGGGGATGAATTACTATATGGGGGATTAATTACTATGCTTACTATGGGGGAATATTACTATACTTACTATGGATGACACATACACATCATTCATCTACTCTTGGTCCGGCCCCCGGGTCCAATATATGAACCCATTGCGGCCCTCAAGTCAAAAAGTTTGCCCACCCCTGGCTTAGACCCTGCACGGTGACAGGAGGAGAGAGGGGGAGGACAGGGGAGTGCCCTGCTATTCCAGGCCTCTATTGATGTACACAGTGTAGGGAGGCACAACTCTAGTTCCTGCATGCAAAGGTGGCTTTATAGGACACCAAGGGAAGAAGCAAGGAGCATCCATGAAACAGGAAACCAGGGGCAGTGATCATGGCACCAGCTTAAAACAAGAACATAAGCATGGATTAAAATATGAAGCAGCTGCATACTCAGCAATTAAATGAGCTGCGAAAAGTTCTTAAAGTAGAACTAAAAGACAAAACTTTCTTACTTAGTTTAGGATACAGTAAAAATGGATTAGAACACCTGTCAATTTTTATTGTTGTCTGTGTCCCCGTTAGGGAGATTCATCCTCTCCATTTGTCCTGTTTACCATTATCAGCGAAAGTGAAAAAGACTCCAAATTGTGGGCTGTCCCCAAAACAGTAATAAAGGGAAACTTTTCCAATGGGGACACTAGTTCTGTTGACCTGGGGTTCTCAAGGAATTCCCTTAATTTGCAGTGATTTCCTCTCACTTTCTGTTTTGGCAATGGGACAGGAAGTTTTAGTGAATTGTGTGTAATATACAGTATATATATATATATATATATATATATATATATATATACACACACACACACATACACATATATACACACACATATATTCTTATGCAGGCCATGTCTTGACACAGACCTACTGTGTTTAACACAACAAAAGGATAGCTAAATAGCCCTCTGCTAGCCAATTAAACTTTTCAAAGGAGGATATTTGCAAGGTTACCTACAAGGGATTGTAAAATGCAGATTTGTATGGTTATGTATTTCAAATGGTACATTGTTTACATATTTAAGCATGACAAAGAGTGTCATTGACCATACAAGAAGTATTTAATGAGGGTAATTAGACTCCAAGGGGTATTCATGGGAAATGGTGAAAGGGTGACTTGTTTACCAGGTAAACACTATAGTGACTTTAATTGATATTTACAGTAATTACGTGAAGTCTTTTCATGTTAAAATCAAAAAAGTGTTTTGTCGGCCAATCAGAATCCCTCCAGCTCTGCTTACTGGTAGTGACTGTATATGAAGGGAAGATTAGCTGTTAAGACTAGACTCATTCATTTACTCAATATGGAAACACAGGTATAGATTAGAACACACATTATTGCATGCAAGGAAGTTACCTAGGAGCATATTATAGCTTGGACAAATGTTGGATTGTGTAGTGTCTCTATGCTGGATATGAAGTATCTTAAATGGGACTCTGAGGGCTGCTGTTCGTTGCAACAGATGGCAAAATCCAGCTGAATATTTGTAAATATTACAAATATTTTTTGGACTGTTCCGGAACCAAATAAATGTCTCTCTATGGATGAACCAAGTTGTTGCGGTAAAATTCATTTCTACAATAGAAGAGTTTTGCATTCCATATTGGCTAGCAATCTCTTGTCTCAATGACAATAATTATAATTATCACTACTTGTCCTTGAAATACGGCAACAGAAGTGAAGGTAAATGTCCCCAAAGGGACACAGATAGCAAAAAAGGACAGAGGTTCATAATCCTCCCATACTCCATACAAAATGAAAAAAAAAAAAAAAAAAGGTTGTGCCTATAGTTCTACTTTAGACAGCTGAGGGTTTAATATTGTAGCACCCTCCTAGATAGCTAGGGGGAGCTAGTGTTCAATTGATAGTCAGAGGCTGAGTAGCTCCTGTGGCGATAGTCAAAATTTCGGTCAGAGCTGAGTGGCTGTACAGGTCAGATCCCTGATACATCCCCCTTCTCTAGAATCTTTGAGAAGATTCTAGAAGCAGTGTGCGGGGGTAGGAGGGGCTGGCCTGCACACTTGGAGGACCTTGGCCAATCCCCAAGCAGG